GCTCGGTGGAAGAATGCCATCGCAAGAGCGAAGTCTCAGCTCAGAAGCTCTTGTCATTGAGCGAGGCAGAGGCAATGGAGACGGCAGGACTGTTGGCAGTGGTGAGGCGCATGGTCAAGACGGTTCGCTCACCATGCGCGCTGATGAAGAACACAGCGTTTTGAGGGCGATTTTCTTTGGCGAAGGCCGTCGCCGCCCAGGAGAGTCAGCGCAAGACTACATCAATAGGTGAGAGAGAGAGAGAGTGAGTTTGAGAAGTTGCAGCAACTGACCTGAGGGCATACAAAGGTTTTTAATTTCGGAAGATCTACCTTTCTTCTTCTTGCTGAAGAATGCCAATGTCTCATAATGTCTCCCCGCAGCGCCGTGCGATCCTTGGTCAAGCCGGGCGTTCCCTGTTGAGGAAGTGTGGTCAAGCATATGGGTCTTCCACAGAGGATGAGATGTTTGCAGTGGAGGATTCGTGTGAGAATGCAAAGGAGAGAAGCACGGGGTCGACACGCACCTTCAGTATGACATAGAGGATGACAGTCGAGGACATGAGCGCAAAGGAACTGGGCTTCGCGCTTCAGATTACACCAGGACGTGAGAGAAGGGCAGGTCGATCGAGGCTAAAACCCTCCAGTCGAGTTGGTTGGCAAGCCGACCTTGACGCAGGCCAGCTTTAGCAGGTAAGAACGCGCTCAGCGCTATGACTGTCAGGACCGAAAGCTTCGTGGAGATCCTCATCTCCGAAGGGCCGCCACGGCAATGGGAGCCATCATCCATCATTACGTGTCTGGGGTTGCCATCAGTGGAAGAGCAGACGAGGCATGACAGAGCACGCAGGAGATTGCACTGGGGCACCTCAAACTCGTCAAGGAAGTTTGTGGTGCTCAGGTCGACCAGGGACGTCCCTACTTGATTGAGAACCCTTTTCAAGTGGCGCGCGGAAGTACTTACTACTTGTTGGAAACGATGACTCCACTACACTGCGCCCATGGATCAGTGCGCAACAGGACTTGTGGACAAGGCGCGTAAACTCAGGAAATATCGCAGAATTTGAGGAACCCAAGGGACCACGTGACGTTTCCTGCAAGGCATAAAGGCGTGGACGGGTTTGCAGGACCAAGACCATGAGGTCATTGGTCCGAACCACAGAAAAACCGCGCTTGCAACCACGGCTCGTAGAAGCTTGACAAGATTCATTGTGACATGTAGATGCATCGACTGCGACCGTTTTTTGACTTGTAGAGTGGAAGGTTGACCAGATTCTAGCTTGCAAAGGACTGTTCCAACCAGTGAAAGAGCATGTGATCTTGGATTTTTACTGGTAGCGGCTGCTGATGGCGGGATACCGTACTGGGGTCCTTTTTCCTTTCGCTTCTCGCACTCGCGCAGAAAAAACTGCTACGGCCGCCTTTTGTGTGTGTGTTGGCGGAGATATTTGCATATGTTATTCCCGTGGCTCGCGCACACGCGTGTTGTTTTGTGATAACATATGTTTTGTGCAAGAGCGTGCACCGATCGCCACCCTGCAGATATTGATCAACCTGCTATCAGCAAATAATCAAACACATTTTAATTTTTCAGGTGGTGAAGTGGCTTTCTGAACAGTTCCCATCCAAGAGCCTTAAAGATCTGGAATCTCAAAGACAAAGTAACTACAAAATAATTAGGTCACTGGGGCCTTTCCTCATTTTTTTGCCCTTGGCGCTGTCAGGCAGAGAAAAACCTGTACACACTGCTTTTTCAGTTGCTTAGTTGCATTTCCAGAAACTGGGTCCGGGCTGATGTTTCTTCCCCCACCGTATACTGACAATCAAAGGTTAAGCTGGCATGCAGTGGGTTCCTGAATTATGACTACGATTCTACACTAGATCTTCTACTATGCCGCCTTTTGAAGACCAGTTGGCTAAGGACACCTGTGGATTTGATCCTGAGCCTTCCTTCTCCACATGGACGGCGAGCGCCTGTGCAGGCCAAAAACAGATGTGTTTTTTGCGACTGGAGGGTCGGGAGAGTGTGCCATTCGCCTGATTCTTTGATCCGTTGCCAAATGGCAGTTGCAATGGTGTACGTAGGGTATGTATTTATAATACATATTTATAAATATATATACAGTATATATATATATATACACTTGGTATTTTTATGTTTTTTTTATTTTCTGAATCTATATAACTCTTCCTTTGGTTCGTGTTGGTGGTGACCCGGCTTTCAATCGGACCAAGTTGCGAACATACTAGAGCGAGTCTATCAGAGAACTGAACAATGCACTTTGCCTGTCAAAATTGTCCCTATTGTTATTGTTACCTGTTTCGAGGAGTTTATTTTAGATTAGGATAGTGGCCTTGCAGCAGCGAGTAGCCGTGTTAGCGGCACAGCTAGACCTTGGCGTGTCGGCGCCTGTCTTTTTGAATGTAGCCGGACCTCCGCTCAAGCTTCACCTCCAGGCAAGAACCAGCATTGGCCAGTCACTTGAGCAATTAAGAGAAGCTGCAGCGAAGGCGGTAGAGCATCACAGCAACAAGCAGCTGTTCGAGTGTCAAGAAGCTCAGGGTTAGAATCACTTTCATCATCCTTCAAAGAAATAGATTTGGAATTGTGTGGTCACTCACTGTCATGTTTGCAAAAGCCTGCGCGGATTTCATGACCTGTACAAGCATGACTTCTCTCTTGCATGAAGGTGCCTCCAAGACAACCTGCCAGAATGTCGATGCGGGGTGTCCAGTGCTGCCTAGTCACCACGGATACTGTCAAGAGGCCACCGTATGGGAAGACCAGCCCTTGTTTTGTAGTGGACGGCAAACTTTTTGGCAGATGTCCTGCGTGCAAATGGCTCTTGATTTTGAGGAACAATGGATAGGCTGTAGCGGCTTCAATATAGCCACACGTACGTGTTCTCATGTCCATTTGGAGTGGCCCTTGATCTCTATTTCGATCCGCCGCACATTCTTTTTCACCTGATTCGACTCATGTTTGGATTTGTCCCATCCCTACTCATGGCCAATCAACCTGTACTTGCTATTTGTGGACAGTTTTATATATCTTCACATTCAACTAGTCCAAGTTAGCAATAGATCAAGACTTGCAAGATCCGTTGAGTCTCCATTACATGTCAAGCATGCTTTATATAGATTCAGCCACCAACCAACCCTGCGAGCAGCCGGCGTGGGAAGAGAGAGGTGTTTGCTCAGGCCGGACGATTGGATCTACAAGCAGCCGGCTGGCATTCTCAGACGCATCATTTCGAAGTAACTGTTGCTTCCACACCAATTCATGAGTGATTCATTGGTGTTTCACTAGCAGATTTGTTGAAAGAAATTGGCTTGCTTAGATTAAATGTCATTAGTAGAGTATGTTCAGTGCTTATTCCAGACCCACAAAGCCTGTGCAGAGAAACTTCACTAACAGGTATTTTGATAATTTTCTGGAACATTCTGGCTGTAGAGTGTGTATGTTTCCTCACGGTGCCTGACCAAAGTGCACCAACCGGTGAAGGAACTACAAACGAGGCATTTGGCGATTGGTAAATACTTGAGGGAAGGGTGGTCGTTTGTGGCACTCGTCTGCGGGGTCGTTTGTGGCACTACCACCACCATCATCGCCAAAAAAACACAATCATCATTGTGATTACAAGACTCAAGACCATTGTGTGCAATAGTGATGTGAAAGGCATCAGGAGGGATGCGTGACACAGATGATCCCTCCCATTTCAACTATGTGTTGGACTATTCCTTGTTCTTGCTTAATAAAAGTTAAAGGCGGAGTGCCGCAGATAATCCCTGTTTGCGTGTCGGAGATGACCCCTGCCCGGCGTGCTGCAGATGATCCCGCATGCGTGCCGCAGATGGCCCCCCTTCCATCCAGGAGCATCATCATGCAGTTTAGAGTTTAGTCAGGAAAACCTCTACTCTAGTGACCCCTTGCGGAGAAGCTTTGTAAGGAAAGCTTGGAACGAAGAAACAGCAGTGTGCTTGAAAATGCAGCGAGCGCCAAGACCGGAAGCTCTAAAGTGTCTGCCAAGTCTGAGCAAGCCACACGCTCTACAGGGAACGATGATCCAAGGTACTTTGAAAAACTTGACTGTGTTATGTAACATCCTGATCTGAGCGAATATGGGAGCTGGCTGAGCCAACTGATTCCCCTTCAAACTCCTATTGTACCACCAACCCTCATACATCCTCATACCAATATTAAGGTTCAAAAACTTCCGAACGTGGAACACAAACTCAAACCCAAAAATGCAAAGTTGAGAGGACTTTCATTTGTTTGACTGATTGGGGAATAAGAAGCTCACTCTTTGGCAACCGGATACTTTTGACTCGTTTGCCTGGGTGGAAAAAAAAACATATATTCTCTTGCTTGAGGTGTCTTTTCTGTGAAAAGGTCGGACAAGTTGCACAAGATGAGGCTGCGACGCAGACGTCTCCAAGACGGCTTCGAAGGTCCAGGCTTGTGGGCTCGAATTCAAAACACCCTGATTTGCTAGGGCAATGAAATCAATCAGTTCCAGGAATCCATGCTTTTCCGGGGCGGCAAGAGTCAAGAACATGCGCAACTTGCATCAGTCTGATTGGAACCAACACAGAAATCAAGCCGGTGGTCAATGTTTGTCATTTGTTGCCAGTGCAATGCATTTGTTCCTTTTCAGGTCAGACGAGAGCAGCTCCTCTTCACTTGAGTCCGAAGATGAAGAGCAGGACGAAGAAGATCATGCAGGCAAAGGGCTCAGAACAATCTAAACTGCAGTTTCTCCAGGCACAAGCCGGAAGTGCTCGCGTTATGCAGTTGAGTTTTGCCAATATGTGTGTTCTATTTTTCACTCCTGGCATCGTCGAGATGGATGATCTCTCACGATGTTGTTCCATTTTGTGCCAAGCAATACCGTTCTTCCTTGGCCCACTCAAGCGCAGATACATGTTGGCACTTGAGTCCATCAAAGAGCGAACACCTGTTGGATAACAAGGAAATTCCACATATCACACATATCCTAGTATCTCTTGTTTGGGTAGTGAAAATGATCCAATGCCATTGGTTGGTGGCATCCGAATGGGAGATACACCAACAAAGTGGAGGACATTTGTTTCGCTCCTTGAGCAAATGTTTGCGTTGCTGGTTCTCCAATGGCCGAGGAAAAGGAGGCGCATTCGGATACCAAAGATCCATGATGTGCGTGTGTGTGTGTGTGTGTCGTGGCTATCCCAGGGTAGGGAAGTTGTGCACAACCAATTTCATTCCAAGAAGGAAACTGCAAAGCAGGGTGCCAAAAGACAAACGTACGTCATATGTATACTTGTTTCAGACTAGTTTCTAACCAGAGAAGTGTCCTTTGCTTGAGTCTTGAACGCATTTTAGTCAGTTTAATGACGAGCCATCAACAACATATAGCCTAGCTTTCACATCCGATGTCATTCTATTTTGCTCTTTTCCTTCCCCCGACAAACCCCATCTAAACTGGTAAAGCTTCAAAGTGGCCACGTATGAGCTTGCAACCATCACAGCACCTGAATAAATAGATAAACAAATAGATTACAATAACTACAGTATGTGTTATGTATTTTGCCTTGAGATCTCAGGTTCCAACAGAAGCGTATAAGAGCTTGTAATTGCAATCTTGAAAGCACCTGGAGCGCGTGATGTTGAGGAAAAGAAGCAACGTCAGCAACAGAGCAGACCAGGAAACCCAGCAGCGAGGAAGATTAGCAACGAGAAGTAAGAGGCACTCGGGGGCTCAAGTATCCAGGCCCCAAGGAAGTAGACTGCCATGGAGGAAGCAGAGACTGAGGACTCGAAGAAGCGCCATAAAGAAGACTCCACACCAGCATCAATGTCCAGACAACCGAAGAACCCAAGAGGGGATGATAAAGAAGAGAGAGAGAGAGAGAGAAAAAGAAGAAGACAAACACACCCAGAAAGAACTGTTCCCAGCTTCAGCATCCTCAGCATACAAGACCTTCTACACCAAAGAGCACACAAAAGGGAAGGATCCCAGATGGAAACAGCAAAAGAAAGAACCATGCAAGCCTCCACCCCTCACACAGCAAAGAAACATCCAACAAATACAGAAGAAGCAGAGAAACTTAGCAAGCAGTTAGAAGAGCAAATGCAAGAAGCAAAGCAAATGATGACGACGATGCATGACTCTATGGCCAGGACGGGCCAGCAACCTTTTGTTCAAGAGCTCCAACAACAAGTCTTGAACCTCCAGCAGAGTGTACAAAAGCTAGAGCAGCACTCGGCCGACTTGCGGGCAGACGTCAAGGATGTGGACATCCTAACGCAGCATGTTCACCAGGCCCTTTATGCACAGCAACAAAGAGAAGCAGCAAAGCAGACTATTGCAAAAGGATGGCCGCATCACTTCTCAGACGACGAAAGGAACAAGGTGGTACAATGGTACGCGGAGAAGGCGGGTGTGGCGGACCAGTACTACACCAGCAACGGCAGATACATGTATGGCAGATACAAGAGGTCCCCAATTACCATCATGCACTGGAAAGACGAATGGGCAAAACACACCTTTGAAACATACATCTACAAGCGTTACAACAAACACTACCCAGTCACCATCTGGGACAAAGACGACAACACAGTGTACTACGGATCTCAGCCCCACAGAATTAGCTTCTTGCCTCAAACAAGTGACATGGAAAGAGAAATCAATTTGACCATACAGGCAGCGCTACACATTGTCACAAAATATGAGCAAAGCGACCTGGCCAATTCCTGGAGCAAAGTGGCAGTGAAGTGGCAAGACAAACTAGCAGTGCGCACGTCGGACAACGCAGTCATATTTAAGCTCATCAGAGACAAGGACGACAGCAAGTACATGTACCTCAACATTCACCAGGACTATTTCAACGTGATCAATGATAACTGGTCGGCAGGATGGAGAGAAGCAAACAGCAAAACCAGATGCCCAGAATACAACCAATACACGTACCTTCTGAAGTTCGCAACTGTGAGGAGCAACGAAGAGTACTACACGATCAGGGACGCAAGATGGGGTGAGAAAAATGAGGCAGACGCAGAGATGCAAGATAGTTGACTACGCGCTTCACAAGTGAGTGCGGATCCGAATGTGAAGGAACTAGGTAGGAAGGAAATAGCCAGGAAGGAATTAGTTCTGAAGGAAATAGGATTGAAGGAAAGAGTAAGAAAAAAACCAAGCAGGAAATTCATAAAGATTCCTGCTTATGGCGCAAAATCCTCCGGGGCCCACAAATATCAAAGCCATAACGTACATAGTCCTAAGTACCGTCCAGAGGTGTGCCGGGACCCTTGTAGGGTTTTCCCTGCAAAGAGCGAAATCCCCCCAAATGACTTCCCTCAGAAAGAAAACACGAGTAAGAAGCTGCGTAATCGCAAGAGGAATCAACAAAGAGCTTGCAACAGACGTTTGTGGAGATACTATAAGAGGATATACGGGAAGTTTGGAAGGCCTGCAAAGGCTCAGCAAGCTTGGCGTAGACGAAATAGATGTGACTCCCACCCACCCGTGCCATGGCGCATGCCTTTTAAGCCTGCCTTTTGAGATTTCATTTTGCAAACCAAGAGGAAAGGTTGCTCGCCCTTGAAGTCGGTGTTTTGACAGAAACACTGTATTGAATTACAAGCTGTCGTGGAAGGTTGCGTTGAAAACATGTTGTTATTGTTTTTTACACACTTCGAACTTGGGTTTTCAGTTAGACTCAATTGCCACGTTGGGAAGGAAGGTGATGGAACAGCAAGGCGAAAGGGTCCGGTGACTTGTATTGTTTAACAAATGTTTCACTCGCGCGGCTGGCTGCAATTCACAGTTGGCTGAACGCTGCGGTGGGAAACGTGTTTGTGGGGAAGGTATCATGCGAAACCACCATGAATCAAAAAGCGGAAAAGGAGGGTAACAGCTTGTGAAGCACTCTGCAGGTACATGGTTGAGCGTCCTCAACCACTTCCCTTCCAGTGACCCAGCTTCGTTGGATCAGGTTAGTCACTGGAAGCCTGATCCCCCTGCCTGTGAAATCCCTTGTCATGGTGGAAAAGGTGGTGAAGGTGGGGGAAACCCTTAGAACCAGGGTGTGACACACACAAGACGCCGTGATCGGCGCACAGACTGAGCGGTGGAAAACGGAGCTTTTTTTCTCAAAAACCGCCTGCACGCATGCAGGTCATGCCCTTTTTGGGCATATAGGTTGACCAGGGCTTCAGCCGCAGCGGTGGCGTCGTTGGGTGGAAACGTGTAGGTATAGATGGAGTGAAGTCTTGAAGCTAAGCCGGACAGAGCCAAGCGCTGGCTACCGGCGCTGGTGTGGTCCCGGATTTTCCAGGGTTGGGTGGGTTGAATGTAGGTGATGGTGCGTTGCTGGAGGTCAATGTTGAAACCTAAAAGGTGAGAGTCTTCCACCGTTTCCAATCCGACAGGATCGCCGAAAAAGTTGTTGTGGATGAGGGTCTGGATGGCGGGATGTGAAAGGAATTGCTCATTGTGGACAATGAAGCGGTTGTCCACGTAGCAATAGTACGCGAAGTGGAGGGCAGTGTGTTGAAGGAGATTGTTGTGAAGCTGATGCCAGGAGTGTTCAATGAGGGTGATGGCAACGTCGCAAAGGGCTGGGGAGAGCTGGGAGCCAATCCCAGCTCCCCGAATTTGCTTGTAGGTGTTGTTGCATGCCCGGAAAATGCAAGTGTCAAGTGCATATGCCACAATGGTTGTAATGTCTGCAGTGTGGATGGTGCGCTGTGTAGGGTGGCGACGGTGGTGCCTGCCGATGTGGGAATGGTGGAAAGGGTTGCCGGTGGCTTTGGTGTCAACAGTAAGAGTGTGGGTGTGGTTCTGGCGTTGCCATTGCTGGATGAGGGAGTGGACTGCATCAATGAGGCGATGCTGTGGGACTGAGTTGAAGAAGCCAACAAGGTCGTCGTTGGTGGCGTGTAGGGGAATGTCAGGTGGGGTCTCGGTGAGGTAGCAGTGAAAGTGGGACCACAGTTGTGGAATGGAAAGTTGGCCTGGATGTTGAGGAAGGAGGTGTTGCAGGATGATGTCAAGGGCTCGGCTGGTAATGCGGAGGAGGTTGCCGCTCAAGGATTGAAAGTATGAGATAATGGTGCGGCCCTTGCTCCACTGTTTTTTCTCCTTGAGGTGAACAATGCCGTAGGGAATCGTGAAGTCTTTTCAAAAGCCCCATTTGTAGCGTGTGCGGAGGCTGGGGGGGATGGTGTGTGTCAGGTGTTCGTGAATGTTGGACAATTAGAGTGTTGGCATGGGGGCAAAGAGTTCCGGCGACTGCCAGGTGGCCAGCGCCCCGATGAAGTATTGGCGGGGGCAGAAGATGCGTAACTGCTGCAGTTCGTGATCAGCATGGTGGAGGACGACTTGGTCACCCAGAAATTCCTGGAGTTGCCGGAGAAGGCGGGCTGTGAAGCGGGGTTGGTGTTTCAAATGGTCAGTATGGAGCCGCCATTGGTGCTGGAGGAAGGGTTCCAAGTGCTGGGTAAGAGAGGGTGGAAGGCCTTGAATGCGCAGCCATTTTGTGAAGGCCGTCTGGAACACAAGGAAGTACCTGGCCTTGCTGGGGTAAAATGTGCTGCTCATATTGGCTGCCAGGAATGCCAACCTTGAGCTTTGAGCTTGAGGTGGTGGGAGATGAAAGGCCAGTTGAGTGGCGGCATCCAGTTGGAAATGAGGTAGTGTTCTTGGACCCAAGCTTGATCGTATGTGTCATGTGAAGAAAGTTGAATGGGTGTGAATTGGTGGATGTTGTTGTGGGAATGCCAGTAGCGAAGGGAAAGTTCTGCTGAAATTGGAACGTTGTTCTGCAGTTGTTTTAATTTTGCCCGACGGTTGTGTTCTCTGTGTGGGATGCCGATGCCAGTAGAGCCAATGTAAAAGTGGCCGCGCTGATGGTAGCATCGTTGTGGGGTCGTGGGGTTGAAGTAGAGTTTGACATACACTGCATTGAAGGAATTTTCTTTGTAATCGGGTTGTGGGAATGAATCGGGTTGTGAGACCCTGCCTGTTATTGGGGGGTTGCCAACCCACCCTTTCAGAGCTGGAAGTTGACTTCTCGTCAAGACTATCCCCTTAAAGGGACCTAGGGTTCTTTCCGGGTACAACATGTTTAGACCCAGAAGCTCTGTGGTTGACTAGGCCCCAAGCACT